GATGGTCTGTACTTGGTTCTGATGGTCTGTATTTGGTTCTGATGGTCTGTATTTGGTTCTGATGGTCTGTACTTGGTTCTGATGGTCTGTATTTGGTTCTGATGGTCTGTATTTGGTTCTGATGGTCTGTACTTGGTTCTGATGGTCTGTATTTGGTTCTGATGGTCTGTATTTGGTTCTGATGGTCTGTACTTGGTTCTGATGGTCTGTATTTGGTTCTGATGGTCTGTATTTGGTTCTGATGGTCTGTACTTGGTTCTGATGGTCTGTATTTGGTTTTGATGGTCTGTGTTTGGTTCCGTACTTGGTTCTAATTGTTCTGTACTTGGTTCTGATGGTCTGGTTCTGTACTTGGTTCTGATGGTCTGGTTCTGTACTTGGTTCTGATGGTGTGGTTCTGTACTTGGTTCTGATCTGACTCAGAGCACGGTCAGTGAGGGCACACTCGTTGCCCTCCTGGCAGCCAGGAAAGATAAGATCCTGCAGCTGCGGGCCGATCTGGACCAGGACGTGGACGACTCGGTTCTGAACTCCAGGCTGGTGGGCTACGCTTCAGTTCAGGTCAGTTCAGCTGCCGGTTCTGTCCGGGTCCGATGAACCAGTTCTGAGGTGTGACGTGTCCCTGCCCTCACAGGCCCACTCCTCGGTGGAGAAGGCGGGTCTGATCTCTCTGGTGAAGATCCGGTTTCTGCCCACTGATGAGACGCTGTCCCTGAGGGGGGACACTCTGAGACAGGCCGTCCAGGAGGACAGGAGGCGGGGCCTCGTCCCGTTCATGGTGCGTATTTGAAATGAACCAAGGGCAGCAGGATGGCCTTAAATCTCACCTGTCAAGGGCGTAACTTTGTGCTGAAAGTTGGTGGGGACGCACCGTGGGGGGCGGGGTCTGACACACCCACAGTTGTGCGACCAGGTTTTTCTGTTGTTCATGTCTTCAGTGTGTGCTCAGTTTAACTGTCTGCACTCATCAATAACTGAACACCAAATGTTTCTGTTGTGATGTAATAATACTTAAATGGCCATATTAACTGAGATTATGTTCACCTTTATTAACCCATGTACTGTACCAGCCCTTTAAACTCACTAAGAATACAGTCTGATAATCAGCCATAGTTTCATACAGACACACAGGTGGAGCACAGGTGTGTTGGTTTATCCTCTCACAGAAGTCTTATGTGTAAAGGACACACTGGAGGGGGGTCTGGGGGTCCTCCACCAGAAAAGTTTGAATGAATTWGAAGCTATCTCCTGATTTCTAACATATTTTAACAGGTGGTTAAAGATACTTTTACCTACATAAATAAAGACCTGATTTAATGACTGGAGACAGATTCTTCATTAAACTAGTTGCATCATTAAACTCAGTTATAACTCAGATAATTAAATTAATGTGACAAATTATCCCAAACAAGCTTAGAGGAGGTTTTTACATTTATTTATAAGATCGATATGTGGATGTTTGAACTGATTAGAAAACTAATGATGGATGATTGACAGATTTATTTACTGACCTTTATTTAACCGGGAAAATCCCAATTATGGAAACTAATACAGTTTAGCTGATTAAAAAAAAACCTCAATAATAGATAATGTCATCAGTAAATGAWTGCTAACATTAGCTGATAGATAACTGGCAGCAAGCTAATGTTTCATAAGAAAAATAACTTTCCTGTCCTACAGTTTGACTTATTTTTGGTCCTTTGTAAAGAATAATATTTTTCCAAGAGCTGGACGTTATCAGACCATTACCTGTTCCAGTAGCTCTGAAGATCTGACCACCACGTTGTTTTACAGCAGGCAGSTAGCACGCGCGAGTCTGCACTTCAGAGAAAASGAAGGGAGATGGTGARGGTGTCCCAGGCTCGCAGTAGCGCTCCTGTATGGGATGAGAAGCACTAGCAGGAGAGGGGAGGGGGCGGAAGGGAGGAAGCGGCGCAGCGTAGCTACTTTTTTATTTTTATTTTCCCAGAAAAAGGTAGACAGAGCAGTTGCTGCTGCCTACTGTCGGGAAATGTAGATGCACGCAAAGGAAAAAAGATGTGTGAATATTGGTGGGGACTGTCCCTGTCTGGCCAAAGTTGGTGGGGACATGTCCACACCAGTCCTTCAGAAAGTTACGCCCTTGTCACCTGTGCTGGTTCTGTCCAGGTGTGCTGCACTCTGGGAACGACAGGCGTGTGCGCCTTCGACAGGCTGTCTGAGCTGGGACCTCTCTGTGAGTGTCCACACCTTCAGCTTCTAACTCACCTGTCTGTGTCTCAAGCTCACCTGTCTGTGTCTCTATCTCACCTGTCTGTGTCTCAGACTCACCTGTCTGTCTCTAACTCACCTCTCTGTCTCTAACTCACCTGCCTGTGTCTCAGACTCACCTGTCTGTGTCTCAGACTCACCTGTCTGTCTCTAACTCACCTGTCTCTCTCTAACTCACCTGTCTGTATCTCAAACTCACCTGTCTGTCTCAGACTCACCTGTCTGTCTCTAACTCACCTGTCTGTATCTAACTCACCTGTCTGTACCTCTAACTCACCTGTCTGTGTCTCAGACTCACCTGTCTGTCTCTAACTCACCTGTCTGTGTCTCAGACTCACCTGTCTGTCTCTAACTCACCTGTCTGTCTCTAACTCACCTGTCTGTCTCTAACTTACCTGTCTGTGTCTCAGACTCACCTGTCTGTCTCTAACTCACCTGTCTGTATCTAACTTACCTGTCTGTATCTCAAACTCACCTGTCTGTCTCAGACTCACCTGTCTGTGTTTCAGACTCACCTGTCTGTCTCTAACTCACCTGTCTGTGTCTCTAACTCACCTGTCTGTGTCTCTATCTCACCTGTCTGTGCTCTAACTCACCTGGCGCTTGATGCGTTGCTCTGATTGGACCGACTCCAGGTGAGGAGGAGGGGCTCTGGCTGCACATTGATGCTGCATACGCCGGCTCCGCCTACCTGTGTCCAGAACTCCGCTGGTCCCTGCAGGGCGTGGACCACGCCCACTCGTTTGTGTTCAACCCTTCCAAGTGGATGATGGTTCACTTCGACTGCGCGGCGTTCTGGTGAGTCCAGACGGTTTCTCTCTGACGTCCTGCTTTGAGCGGTGAAATGAAGAGACGCTCATTTTTCAGGGTAAAAGATAAATTTAAGCTCCAGCAGACCTTCAACGTGGATCCTGTTTACCTCAGATATGAAACCTCCCAGGACGCCACAGACTTCATGGTAAACCAAGACTTTTTAAAGAAATCTTTAACGATCAAAGAGAGTTATTAAACTGATTTCTTTATTTTTCTGAAGCACTGGCAGATCCCTCTGAGCCGGCGCTTCCGTTCTCTGAAGCTCTGGTTCGTCCTGCGCTCCTTCGGACTCAAGAAGCTCCAGGATCACATCAGACATGTCAGATACTTGATTCTCTGAGTAATCCTTTCAGAATAATACTTCATACAGCCTCATATGTACCTGGTTTTTGTTAGACACATATCTGGGATTTACTGGATACACATTTTAGATTTAACTGGTACAAACAGCATTTATTGAGTACATATCAGGTACTTTTAGGTTCAAAACTTGTAACAATAAAACCTGATTCTTACTGGGTGCAAATGTGGTACTTATTAGGTAGAAACACAATATTATAGTGTAATAACCTAAGACTTAAAGTATACAGACCAAGTACTTATAGAGTAAAAAGTTAGTACTTACCAGACCTTGTAATTTTAGGGAAAAAATCTGGTACTTTTTAGGTACAAGGCTTGTATCTACAGGGGTACTTACAAGGTACAAATTTGATATTTATAAGGTAGAAATTTGGTACTTATTGCGTACAAACGTGGTACTTAATGCATATAAATCTAGTACTTATCAGGTAGAAAATCTTGGTACTTTTAGGGTAAAAATCTGGTACTTATTAGGTACACGGCTTGTATCTTCAACAATCCTACCTACAAGGTACAAATTTCGTACTTATAGCGTATAAATTTGGTGCTAGGTGTGTACAAACCTAGTACTAGGTGTGTACAGATCTATTACTTATTGTATACAAACATGGTACTTATTGGATACAAACCTAGTACTTTTCAGTCAGAAAATCTTGGTACTTTTAGGGTAAAAATCTGGTACTTATTAGGTTTTATGTCTTGTACTTACAAGGTACACATTTGATCCTTATAGGTTACAAATTTGGTACTTATTGTGTACAAACTTAGTACTTATTGAGTACAAAGGTGGTATTTAATGGATGCAAACTTTATCTGTTAGAAAAACTACATTTAGGGTAAAAAACTGGTACTTATTAGGTACAGGGCTTGTATCTACAGCGGTACTACCTACAAGGTACAAAGCTGATCCTTATTATGTACAAACCTAGTACTTATTGAGT